GGAAGATATGTGATGATTGAACTTGGTTTGTATGGTAAGAAAATACTCATAGTGGGACTTTATGCACCAAATCAGCAACAGGAACAATTTTATAGATTGCTACATCAAAAAATAACTTTGCTGGACTATAGATCCGTGGTATTAATGGGTGATTGGAACGGCGTCTTAGATATACAGAGGGATAAGAAAGGTTCTTCTCCTCTTTTTAAACAGGCAAAACTACCTAAAGCTTTTTATGATATGAAGGAGGATTGGGAACTAAGGGATTATTGGCGGGAATGTAATCAAGAGGAGAGAGACTTTACCTTCTTCTCAGATAGACACCAATCCTTTTCAAGAATTGACTTTTTCTTGATTACAACGGACTTATACAATAGAGTAAAGAATGTAAAGATTTTTCCTAGTTCGCTGACGGATCATAGTCCAGTTTGGATGGAGCTGACTCAAGAAAAAGAGGAGAGAAGATCCTGGAGGGTGAATGAAAACTTATTTAGACAAGAAAAGAATATTCAAAAGCTAAAGGAGTCTTTAAAGGATTACTTTGCTTTAAATATGTATAAGGGGACTTCAATGTCAATGGTATGGGATGCAGGTAAAGCATTTATGCGTGGGATCTTGATAAAAATGAATAATTCTCATAAGCAAAGGCAGACTCAAAAACGTAAAGAATTGGAGGATGAAATTAAGTTAAAAGAAAAGTCTTTGATTTTAAATCCTTCAGATGAAAGTATTAAAGAATCTGTAAAGTTGTTAAGAGCACAATTTAATATGTTGCTGGCGGATCAAGCTGCAACTAACTTATTGTTTATGAAACAAAATACATTTTGTAATGCCAATAAACCAGGGAGATGGCTGGCCTATCAATTAAGAAAGAAGCAGAGACAGAGGACAATAGATAAAATAAACTATAAGGGCAAATTAGTCTTTCAGAAGGAATTGATTAAGAAATCTTTTTTAGATTATTATCAAAAATTATACAAATCTACTAATGTGCAAATCTTAGATATAAATAAATATTTAAGTGAGGCTAGTTTTCCCAAACTGACAGAGGATCAGAAACATGAAATTAATGGTTTAATTACTAAAGAGGAAATTGCGATAGCAATTAAACAATTGAAACTAGGGAAAGCACCGGGTACGGATGGGTTGACAGCTGTTTACTACAAAGTTTTAATGGAGGAGATGATCCAACCATTAGGTGATCTTTTCAATGATATCTTACAGGGCTCAGAGATTCCTCCTTCATGGCGTAGTGCTTTTATTTCTTTGATTCCAAAAGAGGATCAAGATCTTACTTTACCAAAGAATTATAGACCTATATCTCTATTAAATGTGGACTATAAGATATTTGTAAAAATCTTAGTAAATAGGTTTATGAGGGTTGTGCATCATCTTGTGCATAAAGATCAATCTGGGTTTATAACTGGTAGGTATATGAAAAATAATGTTAGACAAATCATTAATTTATTAGAATACTTAGACAAGAATAACCAAGTCCCTGCAGGGCTGATATTTTTAGATGCTGAAAAAGCCTTTGATCAATTGAATTGGCATTTTATGTTAAGAGTAATTGAAAAGATGAATTTTGGTGAAAAGATATTACAAGCTCTTACGGTAATATATCAAAAACAAACGGCACAACTTATTGTTAATGGAGGTTTGTCAGAGGTATTTACAATAGAAAAAGGTACTAGGCAGGGATGTCCACTATCACCGTTGTTGTTTGTCTTAACATTGGAAATATTGTTGATCAAAATTCGAGACTCGCAGGAAATTAAAGGAATAGAAGTTAATAAAAAAGAATATAAGTTAAGAGCCTTTGCAGACGACTTGGTGGTTACTTTGTCGCAACCTATTAGTTCTGCAGTAAAGTCATTACAGTTAATTCATCAGTATGGTTTGGTTTCGGGTTTTAGGATTAATGTTAACAAGACTAAAATCCTACCTAAAAATATGACTATTCAGGAGAAGCAGACTTTGGCTAACTTGACGGGTTTTGAAATTGTTAATAAGGTAAAATATTTGGGGGTGATGCTATCTGTTTCTAATGCAAAATTATTTAAAAATAATTATGACAGGTTGTGGGTTAGTGTACAGAAAGACTTGAAGAATTGGGAGAAGCTGCAACTATCTCTCATGGGAAGAATTGCAGTGATAAAAATGAATATTCTACCCAACTTTCTTTTTTTGTTTCAAATGTTACCGATTTTGAAGAATGAGACTAATCTAAGTGAATGGCAGAAGGGTGTTAATAAATTTATTTGGGCAGGGAAAAAGCCAAGGGTTAAGTTTAAAATTATGCAAGACTTCCGTGAAAGAGGTGGACTCAAGGTACCGAATTTGAAATTATATTATGATGCGGTGGTTTTAACATTAATTAGTGACTGGGTAAATTTGACAAATCTTGAGATACTCCATCTAGAGGGATGGGACTTACTTTTTGGGTGGCATGCCTATTTAATATTCAACAAAAAAGTGGATTGGGCTTTTAAATCTCACATTATAAGAACTTCTTTACTTAGGATTTGGAGAAAATATTATAAAAGTGATTTTAAAGTACCATTATGGGCTATACCCTGGCATGCGATAGAAGGAATAAAAAGAGGTGTTAGAATGGATATGGTGTCTCATAGACAGCTACTCAGATGGGATGGACAAAATTGGCAATTAAAATTACGGGAGGAGTTAGCACAAGAAAATATTATTTATTCTTGGTTTCAATATAGGCAATTAGCAGATAGATGGAAGGTGGATTGCAAGGTGGGTTTTCTTAGAGAAGATGAAAATCTTACTAAGCAAGTGAAGGACCAAAGACAAGCCCATATTAAGAGAATTTATGGGGTGCTAGTTGAAATGGACTCAGAAACGGAATTAATTAAAGATTGTATGATTAGATGGGCCCAAAACTTTGGTGAATCAGTCCCATTGGATACATGGGAAACCATTTGGGTAAGAAATGTCAAATTTACACAGGCACAGAATTTAAGGGAGAATTTTTATAAAATGTTTTATAGATGGCACCTTGACCCACAAAAAATGTCTTTCATGTACCCGGACTTACAGCCTAAATGTTGGAGATGTGGTTGCTTGGATGCTACCTATTACCACATTTGGTGGTCGTGCAGAGAGATAAAAGCATTTTGGATTAAGATATGGTGGAATATTCAGAGAATTTTTAGAAGGAGGGTAAAATTTACTTCGCAGTTATTTTTGTTGGGTATAGTTACTGATTGTGATACAAAGGAGGTTATATTGATGTTAAATTTGATTACAGCCGCAAGGCTGTTAGTAGGACAATATTGGAAGAAGGAATCCTTGCCTACACTACAGGAATGGTTTTTTAAAGTGTCTTATTTGGTGGAAATGGCAAAGATTTCGGCTTTTTTAAAGGAACAAACGCAAGAGAAATTTCTTGCTGTTTGGGATAAATGGATAGAATTTATACAATTTAAATTGGATATAAAAAATATATTGCTTTTTCATAATTCTTATTTCTATATACATATATATATATATATTTCAGTCTTATTTTTTTTTCCTTTTTATATATAATTCTTTTTAACTCTTTTTTAATTAAGCCTATATTCTGCTCTGGGAAGCTCAGGGGGGGTGTTTTGGGGGGGGATGGGGAAGGGGATGTTATGTTTAGTTTTTTGTATATGTTGTTTTCTGTTTTTGTATTGTTCTATTTTTTTTTTTTATTGTAAAAACTTATAAAAATTCTCAATTAAAAAAAAAAAAATTCGGGTGCTTGGCACTCAGCATGCATTTATAATGGTTGTAGCATCCTGAGCTCATACAATTGTTGTTTGCAATCTTTCCAGCTGATTACTGACAAGCAAAGTGAATGGGGAAAGCTGGATTTGCTTAACAAACATGTGATTCACAACTGCAATGATTCACATAAAATTGGATGTGACTCACTTAATAATTGCTTTGCTTAGCAATGGAAATTCTAGGCTTAATTGTGGTAGCAAGTTGAGAACTACCTGAAGGCAAAATGAGACAGAAATTAGATGAGCGAGAGCAAAGCCTTGTATCTCTCCATCTCTATCAGTGTTTGGAGATATTTCTGCCAACTCACTCTTCCACATAGAACAAAAACATGAAATGTATTTGTGCTTACTCCTACCTTCAAGAATCTGTTAAAAAAACACCAGTTGGTAATATTCTTTATTGCTTATGGATAAAAAACTTCAGTCTGTCAAATATATCTTTTTCTTCTAACTTTCGTATTTATAACCCTGATGACTTCTTTGACTTTTTTCTATTATCACACATTTCAACTCAGCAATGTAATCTTCTGTTCTTAATATTTTATTGATAGGGAAAGAAAAACCATTTAAAATGGTTTAAACAAAAGCAAATCATATATAGTACAAAGAACATACAGTATTTAAAAAAAGATAAAATTGTTGCATAATTTAATAAGTATAGATTTCAATTTTAAAAATGTTATAAATATAGGCATTGCAAACAGGCTTTGTAGAAATGGTTCATATGTCATTCTTTAAAAATACCACCAAGAACACTCCCCCCCCTAAAACTGAAAGGACAAATATTTGTATATAAAATGATCAAAGCCCATTTCCCTCTAGCACTGATGATGTTACCTAGTTGGATAATGGAATGTCTGCAAGAAAGCAAGCAAGCTGAGAGAGCACCAAAGCCCCAGTCATATATCTATAGCTGTTTAGTCAAGAGTAAGTTTCACTAAATTCATTGGGACTACATTCTGCGTAAATGTATAAAAGAGTGATGGCAAACCTTTTAGAGACCAAGTGCCTAACCTGCAACCCAAAATCACTTATTTATCACCAAGTGCCAGGTGGGCGTGGTTGTGGTTATGGGTGGGTGTGGCCAAGGTGGGCATGGTCACCTTCATGTTGCTCGTGAGAGATGCCTGTGGGGGCCGGGCAGGGTTGAGGGAGATCCAGGGGATCTCTGACAGGTGGGGCGGTGGGCAGGAGGCTTGTCCTGTGGAGTGAGGCAAGGCAAGACAAGGCGGGGATGCCATTTTCACAGGGCAAGGCGAGGCAGGGGCCAGGGTGGCTGCTGCCTGACACCATCGGCCCCCACAAGAGGCCAGCAAGCGCATGGGGGCCGACAGTGTCCATCAGCACCCACAGCTAGCCGGCACACTTTGGGGCTCCGCAGCCCGCCGCCAGTTCAGAGAAGCTGCCTCTGAGCTGGACAGCCAGCCGACAGCTGAGGAGGTGATGCAGTGGGTCAGGCCCAGGAAAAGGAATGCATGCGAGGCCAGGAGGGATGGGACGGGTGGGGGGAGGGAAAGCGGCCATGCTGGAATGCATCCAGCCCTATGGGACCTCAGTGAGTTAGCGGGTGGCTGGTTGAAGACGGTTGCCATCTCCAGGGCATGGCACGCGTGCCCACAGAGAGGCTCTGAGTGCCGCCTCTGGCACACGTGCCCTAGGTTCACCACCACTGGTATAAAAGATTATCAGTTTCTTCCACAGCAATGTTTCCCTTTTTAATGAAATATTTTATTATTTAGAATATGTTGACAGAATATGTGATAATTCAGAAGAAGGAAGGTTTTGTAATGAAAAATGTGATATTTCAGAATATATATACATATTTTTTTGAAAAATAAACTTTGAATCTGTAAGAATTAATAGTACAAATTTCATATTGGTTTATAAGCACTTTACTTCCCAACAGTCATTTCCTTTCTATACATAAAGGAAATGCTATCTTGACTGCCTATTTGTTTACACAAAAATCTTGAATGAGGTGACTGATTTTTTTCTTCACAAATCTGTTTTTGGAATATTATATAAAAAAAGAATTGTAGTCCATAATGAGATCAGAACTTCCTATTTTATCAGAAAGGAATCAAAATGGCTGCTGCTTTTTGAACCTAAAAAAATGGGAAAGGGGGGACAAAAAAAACCTTTGAATTCCTTAGTCAAGCATCCAATCAAAAGTTATTATTTGCCATTTAATCAAGCAATGAATGGACATTTTCAGTGGAATACTGAAGGTGCACTTGCAACTTCTTCTCACTGAAAGAAGATTTGCTTCTATGTATTAGGATATACAGCATTCTTGAAAGCCTTTAAGTGCACCCACTTATACAGTGCTAGAACAGGCAACACAATTTCAAACACAATATCTTTTAAAAAAATTTCAGATTCAGCAAAGGAACCATTAGCTTGTATCCGATCAAAAACTCCATTAGAGGATATAACTTCAGAAAATTTAACATTTAGAACAGCCATGTTAAATTGCAATGTAAATTCCACGTCCTTTTTCAGATTTCCTGAATGAGTAAAATCTTTCTTATCCTGCAGAATTGCTAGAATAGAATAATCTGGGTCATCTGGAAATTTGAACTGTAATACATCCTGAGCTATGAAGCAGGAGTATGCTTTATGCTTATGAATGCAAATGTAGTTTAAAGAGATTCCTTCCCTGTAATTTTTTTTTTCCCATACCACTTCTTAATGACTTGATCTCTTGAATCTTCATCCAGCCAATGTTCTTCTGTCACATTACTATCTTCATTACCAGGTTTATGTTCAATTGGGTGAATCTGGATTATTTTTTCATTTTCAGTTCCACGCGTAACTTTATCTGGTTCATTATCATCATTTTTATCATCATCATCATCAATATTAACCAATGGTTTTTTTTCCAAATTAATATTGCCTTGTCTCTGCATTTGTTCCTGGGCCTTTCTTTTACGGTTGTTGCTTTTCTTAGAGAACATAAAGTTAAGAAGTTTCTTAGGTATTTTTTCTGATTTCTTACCACTAGAAACATTTCTCAAAAATTCTTTCAGTTCACCATTTCTAAACAGTTCATAATATTTCTGAGCCGTAAATGAAAAAAACTTATTCAGCACACTACACATCAGTTCTTTTTTCAGTGTCTCTAATTGATCAGGTTTCAGGATCTTTTCTAGGTGCGTTATTAGTTGGTCTTGATTCTTTGTTGCATAATCTTGCAGATCAAAAATTGTGTATTTACCTACAGGTGGGGAAAACATGAATGAATGACGACTTTAAAGTGTTGCAATAACATTTTAGTTGTCATGAAAATCAAGCTTTACGGATTGGATAATGTGTTGAAAAAATTCAGAGGTAAGTTGATAATAACTAAAATTATTAGTTATTAAAAGTATTTAACAATCAACAGCAACTTTGCATGAGCAGAAAATATACTTTGTTTTTCTTTAAAGAGGTACATAACATCTATTCTTCCATGCTTATTAATGTTTGATTAGCAACAGGTACCAGAATATCTTTTTACTTTTGTTTTATAGCAGGGGTCCCAACCAGCTCTAATGATCAAACAGACATAGATCTTAACATCTTTCTAGATTTTAAATAAATATTATTGAATCATTCTGTTTTATTAACCTTGCATTTTTATACATACTGTGCATTGCTGTTACTATTATAATAAAAATGTTAAGAATGTTTGGGAGAGAATGAAGATAAGAGCAAAAAACAAACTGGAAGGATGACTGGTTAATAAAGGTTATGTGTCAAAGGATCTATGCACAACAAGCAAAGTTTTTATCTAAGATAACCAAATCTTTGAAAGCCTGTTAATTCATGGAATTCATTACAATATTATTGGGATTTCAGTGACAGTTATTGATACACATAAAGGAAGTGTGTATTTTACATATTGTTTTAAACACAAATTTATGAACACAACATCGCTTCTAATAATCTAGCAGGTCCACAATGAGAATTGTTCAGTATGTCAGCAAAACAATAATTCTAAAGTAAAAATAAAGTGCCCATAAATCTCGTTATTTTAAAAATTACAAAAATGTGTATAGCTTCACTTCATCTATACTACTTACCATTCTGGACATATTTTATGCTAAATGTTGGTAAGCTATCTTCATTTAGTTATCTGTGAAGCTATAATTTAGTGACATTGAGATAATTTAAGAAAACAAAATCCATGGCACATTATCATGTCAACATGTGGAACCTAATCAACATGTGGAAACATAGTTCTAGAGACAGTTCCATGCTTACCCAAAATAACATTAAACCAAATATATCATTGGCCATTTTGGAATTAACAATTACATACCAGCATATGGCGGACGGTCAGTATTCACTGGGTAGGATCTTATTAATGTAAACTTCTCATTATTTTGAGCTTCACCTTTATTCTTCATGTCTGCTTCAATATAAATATTTTCATTAATACAAAATATAAAATGAATAACATGGGATATAACAAAATGTTGTATCTCAATCATCTAGGTCAGGGCTTTTCAACCGGCGGTACGCGTACCACCAGTGGTATGTGAGAACTTGGCTGGTGATACACATAGGACGGGTTGAACAGCACCGTTAAAAAAAAAAGTTTTAAAAAAGTGTAAAAGTGGATGAGGTGAAGCGACAGCAGCGCCGCACAGGCTTGTGACAAAGTCAGCTGGAATTTTGCGTTGCCTGGGTCCTATTGAGAGCCCAGGATCAAAGCGCGCAGCTCCAGCTGATTGGCAGTGGCTTTGGGGGTGGCAGGCAGTCTCATGCAGTCTCAGTGGAGATTCCGCTGGAGCTGCGCGACACATTGCCTGGGTCCCCCCCGTCCCCACCCAGATGCCCTCACCTCCCCCAAGCGTTTTTTTACTCACCTACTTTCAGCAGCATTCCCTTTCTCCTGTCCTTCTCAGCCTTCGCCACGCGTTTGTAGACAAAAAAAAGTTCCATGAGACTTTCTAACTTCTTGTGAGAAGTTAGAAAGTCTCATGGAACTTTTTTTTATCCACAAACACATGGCGAAGGTAGAGAAGCAAATGAAGGCAGAGAAGCAAATGGAGAAAGGGAGTGCAGCTGAAAGCAGGTGAGTAAAAAAATGCTTGAGGGAGGCAAGGGCATCTGGGCGAGGGCAGGGGCACCAACCTTACCCTGCATGGTGGCGGGAGGGTTAACGGTGGGCACGGGGGGACAAGGAGGAGCTGCGCAAAGCAGGCAGAGGGGAGGCCGGGCAGATTGTGGCCGCTGGCAAGCGAGCAAGAGGGCAGGGGCACAAATTGGCGTGTGCTCAGAAACGGTGATCTCATGCTCCTGCTCATCTCACTTGCTTGCAGAAACAAAATTCAGAAGACACGGAAAGGTGTCAAAAGCTGTTGATAGATGGATAGAAACCAAGTGGAAAGCAAGTGAGCTGGGCAGGAGCGCGGAATCGGTGTTTCTGAGCACATGCCGATTCACGCCCCTGCCCTCTCGCTTGCGCAAGCGAGCTGGGCAACAGCGCAGGATTGGCGTGTGCAGCTACAGCTGAGCCGTGCTTCTGCTGAGACACCCAGAAGCGCGGATCAGCTGTAGCCTGGCGCTGATCCTGGTGCTTCTGCTAAATTAGCAAGCAGCATGTTTTCCAGTGAAGCACAAGCGAGCCGGACAGGAGCCCAGGATCGGTGTGCGCAGCTACAGCTGATCCGCGCTTCTGCAGAGCAGCCCAGCTGTAGTTGCTCTCCTGGGCTCCTGCCCAGCTCACTTGCTCGCACTTGTGCTTCACTGGAAAACATGCTGCTTGCTAATTTAGCTCCTCCTGAGCCCCCCGCGCCCACCATTAACCCTCCCGCCACCATGCAGGGTAAGGTTGGCGCCCTCATCCCCACCCAGATGCCCTCGCCTCCCCAAGCATTTTTTTACTCACCTGCTTTCAGCTGCACTCCCTTTCTCCTTTTGCTTCTCTGCCTTTGCAAGAAGTTAGAAAGTCTCATGGAATTTTTTTTTGTCTCACAAACGCATGGCGAAAGCTGAGAAGGACAGGAGAAAGGGAATGCTTCTGAAAGCAGGTGAGTAAAAAAACGCTTGGGGAGGTGAGGGCATCTGGGTGGGGGTGGGACCCAGGCAAGGCGTCCCACAGCTCCAGCAGAATCTCCACTGAAGACTGATGAGGCTGCCTGCCATCCCCAAGGCCGCCACCAATCAGCTGGAGCTGCACGCTTTGATCTTGGGCTCTCAGTAGGAGCCAGGCAATGTGCAGTTCCAGCTGACTTTGCCGCAAGCCTGTGCGACACTGCTGCTGCTTCACCTCATCCACTTTTACACTTTTTTAAAACATTTTTTTTACAGTGCTGTTCAACCCGCCCTATGTGTACCACAGCCAGGTGCTCACGTATCACTGGTGGTACACATACCATCAGTTAAAAAGCCTTGATCTAATGCATTAAAAAAATAAGTATTTGGAATTGTACACAATAGCTGGGCTAGAGTTGTTAATTATGTTATGCATATTGCTATTTATTTTTATTTGTCTATACCAGTGTTGGTGAACCTATGGCACGGGTGCGAGGAGGCACTCAGAGCCCTCTCTGTGGGCACACACACCGTCGCCCCAGTCCTAGGCCTTCAGCTGGGTTTTATAAAACCCTTTCCCTTTAGGCCTACGCTGTCATGTACACAAAAAAAAAGGTTCAATCAGTCAATTTCAACTTCTCGCGGGAAAAAAAAAGATCTTGCAAAGTTGGAATTGATTGATTGAACTTTTTAGTCCCATCCAGTCTGCTGTTACCACTGCAGCCACGGCCACCCAATGGGCCACAGCCATTCGGCACCCGACAATGCATAAGTGGGTTTTGGGTTGCAATTTGGGCACTCGGTCTCTAAATGGTTTGCCATCACTAGTCTATACTAAAACTGAGACATCAAATTTATTTTTGTTTTTATGAATGCAAAATGCCATGAGCATATGTTAATTAAATAAATTGTTCTGTCATGCAATTTTTGAAATTATTCAATGTCATATTGTGACAGACAAATAGTATAAAGTCAGCTGGAATAGTCAGCTGTTTTGTTGCTGCCTTGTCAAGTCCATGCAGTTTTATGGGCAAGATTTTCAGAAGTTGTTTGCCATTTCCTTCTTCCTAGAACGAGAGCCACTGGTCCAAAGTCACCCAGCCAGCCTTTTGCCTAAGGTTCATGGTCTCCTGATGCAATTAACCATTATATCAATCTGCCTTTCAGTATGTACATATCTGGAATTGGGTATGTCTAGTTTAATGACGAGAAGGACGAGGGGGGACATGATAGCAGTGTTTCAATATCTCAAGGGCTGCCACAAAGAAGAGGGAGAAGCTATTCTCCAAAGCACCTGAAGGCAGGACAAGAAGCAACGGATGGAAACTAATCAAGGAGAGAAGCAACCTAGAACTAAGGAGAAACTTCCTGACAGTTAGAACAATTAATCAGTGGAACAACCTGCCTCCAGAAGCAGTGAATGCTCCAACACTGGAAGTTTTTAAGAAGAGACTGGACAGCCATTTGTCCGAAATGATAGGGTTTCCTGCCTGAGCAGGGGGTTGGACTAGATGACCGCCAACCTCCTCCTCCTCCTCCTTCGTTAAATGGAAAGGCAATATTCAGTCCTTGAGCCCTTAGCTACAGACATCAGAAATATCAAAGGTTCCTATTGACCCTTTCCTAATTGTATAATCTTCCCCGTTTTATTGGCACTGCTGGCCACAAATCATCTTTTTGTTTATTCATCCTGCAATAAGCCAATCATTCACACAGAGTGGAGGAAAGTGGAATTCAAACACTTTATGTCTATACTGGTAGGAATAAAATGTCCACTTCAGTTGACAGTTTTTGTAAATTTCAGCTTAAAAGAAAATGGGCATGCCAAGTGAGATTTAAATCATAGCTTTTATACTTTTTTTTTTTTTGCAAAGAAGCACGTAGTTACAATGCCACTCATTGGTTATTAACATTTCTTGGGCATGCTGATTGCCCATGCACTCACATGTGCTCCAGAACATGTTTAGTATGATCTCTAAGTTGTTCATACTCAAGGACTGAGTTTTTAGTATATTAATGATGAACTTTTGTTCATGTCTGGACCCCTGCCCTGACTTATGTCCACAGCTGTAAGCTAAAGCACAGTTAAATTACTCTAAGTAATGGCTTCCTTGCAACAAAATTGTTTTCAGACCGCATCCTGTCATCAAACTTCCTCTAAGTGGTCGCTGCCTTCAACAAAGCAACAAAGTTGATTCTTATCTGTGGTTTACTTCTGCTGACAAGTTTCCATTTATCTGTTGCAAAAAGCTTCTGTTTAAGTAATAATAATGGCTTTTATGCAACTTAAAGCATAGTTTTTACCTGAAACTCCTTTATAAGTTAATATTAAAATAGCTCGCCTTACCTGACTAGGCCTTCACTGGACCAAGGTTAAAGAACCACACTTTAGTATTGCAATTGCTGCCCTGACCACTTATTTGTGGAAAGACCCCTATTTCTAAAAGTGGGTGACCATGAAATCTGCTCCATAACTTGGACTTGGAGAGAGACAACTCATCTTGCATCATTGATAACTTTTTGTAAGATAAAATGTTTGATTTGAATAATAATGTAATAAATTTTACTTTCAGTGTCATAAAACTTTTATAGAGATTTAGAAATAAACCAATTTTGGAATATCATGTGCCTTTATATACTTCACCTACTATCTTCTATGCACTACGCATCATTTCCATTATAGCTAGTCATTACAAGAATAATAAAACATTTAAGAATTGGTGCATACTGTTTTCATGTTCTCTTCTCACCCTCATTCCTTCACTGTGTTGTCTTTTTAAATAGTAGGTATTAGGGCTTTGCAACAATCTGAATCCAAAGGGGAAAAGATGATTCAAAGCATGGTGGGCTCATATACTGCAATTCCCTAAAGAATTTACGTGTGATCCCAGGAAAAATGTGTTTTAGGAAGTGCTAATTGTTGTGATGTGCACACCAATGCATGTTGTAAATCATCTTTTTCTTATGAATATAGATGATTACAAAGTCGTCATGACTGTGAAAATAGAGATTTTTCATTATTCTGTAAATTACTCTAGGTCAGTGATGGTGAACCTTTTAGAGACTGAGTGCCCAAACTGCAACCCAAATCCCACTTATGCATCGTCGAGTACTGAGTGGGTGTGGCCCATTGGGTGGGCATGGCCCATTGGGTGGGTGTGGCTGTGGTGGTAACAGCAGACTGGGTGGGACTAAAAAGTTTAATCAATCAGTTCCAACTTTGCAAGATCTTTTTTTCCTTGCAAGAAGATGAAATTGACTGGTTGAACCTTTTTTTTTTTTTCACATGGCAGCGAAGGCCTAAAGCGAAAAGGTTTTATAAAACCCAGCTGAAGGACTGGGGCGATGGTGCGCGTGCCCACAGAGAGGGCTCTGAATGCCACCTCTGGCACCTGTGCCATAGGTTCGCCACTACTGCTCTAGGTCCTTCTGGCTGAAAAATGGAGCATGGACATTAAATAAGAAGCCACAAAAACAATGTGCAATTCTCTTATCTGATCACTTATATAACTAAAAACAACACTACAAATCTATGACTATACACTTTTTCTAAACTATGCATTTTCCATTCATCTAACAAGCTGGGGGCCTGCTGCTGAAAGCAGCATCAACCCTCAACGCACAGCTACTGGATTCTCAGTGGCCCTGGGCTTTGGCTGCTGATTTTATCTGTAATAAAGCTACCCTCCATGTCCTACTGAAACTTAGTTGGGCTTGGCAAGGATGTATATGTATGTGTGTCCCTTCTTGGATATGTGCTTAACTAGGTTTCGGGAATTGCACCAGCCACAATTTGGGAGTTGTGGAGGCACAGAGGAGGAAGAGTTGCAACCTTTCAGAGGTTTCCTTTCACATAACTGGATCAGATATATGATCTGGCAGTGGATTGCCATGGATGGATCACTTTGATTGTCTTTTGACTTACTGATGTCATTCTTCTTTGGGTTTTCCTACGGATTGGGAGGCAATTCAGCTGAGGCCTAATTACTGCCAATCATGGTTATTCTTCTGAACTACAGATGAACATAGGTTGAGGATAGAAGTCACTATTTTGTACGGTTCTTTTCCTTTCTTAAAGCTGGTTTAGTTGTTGATCAGAAGGCTGGGAGAGATTGCTTCCTAGGCTCCTCTTTTGTAGGATACCATAGGGTTTTACCATCTTCCCCCCTATTCAACACTTAAACAAACCAGTTGGGTGAGATCATCTGTTGGTTTGGAGCTGAATATCATCAGTAGATTGGTGATGGCCAATTATATATTTTAGCCTCGTCAAAGTTCTGTCCCAGAGCCTGGAGGCTGTGCAGGTATTAATAAGAAAAAATTGCCTCTGACTTAATATGTGACTATGGATATCTGGGCCACCCAAATATGGGAATGTTCCATTTTTAATCTTGGATAGGATAGCACTATCCCATTCAAGAATGGTGTACAGTCTGGGGATATCCTGGATTCACAATTCCTACTCAATCAGTAAATAGTAGTGGTGATAAGGAAGGCTTATGCAGTTTCATCTGGTGTGTTAGTTGCATCCTCTTCTAGATTGGAAGACCATTTAGACAGTCACTTACGTCTCAGTCATCTTGTGGCCTAACTACTACAATACACTCTTTATAGGGCTTCCCTTGAAGGCCATCTGGACACTTTGACTGGTCCAGAATGCAGAGCTGAAGGCAGGGATGGGCATGCCTCACTACACCCATTTAACATTTCTTCTCCACAAGCTGCAGTGGTTGCATTTGCCTCTGAATCTGATTCAAGTTCTGGTTGTTATCTTCAGAGACCTGATAGGACTAATTATTTGTGGGATCCCCTATTTTCCATAATATCTACCCAGCCAATTTGATCTAGCAGGATTGGTGCATACTGGTTTTCTTCAGTAAAACAATACCATCTATCAAGATCCCAGAACTGCACTTTTTCTGCTTTAGTATCTGCCTTCTGGAATGAAGTCCCCCCCCCAAAAAATGGATGACCCCTATCCTGCTGGTATTTGGAGATCTGGCTCTTCACCCAGCCCCAGCCCCCTTCTAGATAATGTGGGTTTGCCTTGGTGGTTGTCTAGTTTGTACCATCTTTTGTTCTTTATCTTATTATCACCGTACAGTTTTATTGTTCTGGGTATTTTGATCTGTGCACTGCATAGAATCGCTAAAGAATCAGGAAGGGTTAAAATTCAATAAATAAATTACTGTGGGTTACTCTCATTTGGAAATACACAATCACTCAACTTACCAGTTTCAATTTTAGCACTGATCTTTTGAGTAAGATCTTTTCTGGGAATTCATCCAGATAAAACTGAAGTGCTATTAGAGGTTTTTAAAAATAGGACATAAATAATGCTGTTGCCTTCTCTGCATTAAGATTCTCTACCTTACTTAAGGGGATTTTACAGTCTTCTATTTCTTTTCCATTCAGTATTTCTCTGAGTTTTCTCCATTCATCGTTTCTCAGCTCTTCAAAGATCTTCAGTATGAATTCTTTATTATTTTCTGCCATGATGTTTTTAAAAATTCTGTTGCAGAGAAATATATATATGGTGTTGTGTAGACAGACCTGGAGAGGAATTTGAGGGATGAAGCAAAGAAAATCAAGCTGTCACTAAAAGTTATGTTCAAGTTCATCTAGAATGTGTAACTTTTTCAAAGCTTTGACTGAAGTATCACTCTTACAAATATTAGGTAAGACTAAATTTTATTTAGTCTCTATATATAGATTACTTAAATAAAATTAACGCTACTCTTTAATATTCAGTACTTCTACTTAATCACATTAAAAAGTACAATTTGGCAATAACTCCAGAAGACTCTAAATAAAAATATTTTGTAGATCATCTGCAGCTCAGGGACCTTTGGTTTCACACTTCTGATTGATTCTATACTTGAAGGATATTCACACATGAAGCAAAGTCAGCCCAGGCTCAAACTCTGTATAGCACTTGCCCAATGTATCCTTTACATTTTATGAATTAAGTATCATTTTCAAACCAGCTATGGATTTATACCATTGACTGGACTGGTTGTGAGAATTTCATGGAATGCTCATTTGAAATACTCAAGAATGTCCCCAGCATTTGTAGCATTTAGTTAATTATCTAAAAAAAATTAAATAACCTGGCGTGATTTGTTGTTGAAAATTTCTAACAAATGCCACATAGATTTCAAAATTTTTAGATTACTTTATGATGTATCTATGATATATACACAACTACTTATTAATTTCCTAACCTTCCATTTTACTTTGTTTTAAGCTCTAGATCATGTTTATCTTTCTTCACTTGCCTAACTTTTCATCTGTAAGGACTTAGACAGCAATCAGTTGTTTTCAGGCCCAAAATAGCAGTTACATACCATATAATAATCATATTATAAGGCCATCAAATGCACAGCTAGAACCCATTAATTTTTGGAAAGATAAAACAAAGAATTTAAATCATTTGTACTATCTTGCGGTTGAGAAGCACTGGAGAACTGTGTTGTATGGCTTCACTCTAATCTGCAATAAAGATTTTTATCTGGATGAGGCAAATCAAGGGGAGAATCAAAGCTAAGTTTTGTAGTAATCTCTCATTTTGTTTAACATTCAGTAGGATAATAGGTGGTGATTTTTTTTGTGAAAAACATTAGCACTTGCTTTAAGCCCTGATTTACTAGACCCCAGAGAAAAAAAGCAGTTGGTAGAAATGAGGTATTAATTATCCATTGTACAGAAAAGGTTTGGAGAAAAGGTTCCTAAATGTAATATTTAACCAGATAAGATTCATTATCAAGAAAATCTATGATAATAAATCAGGAAGCCCTAGTAACTTACATACTGGAGTGATATATGTGATATAATGTTTAGAAATCAAACAATATTCGCCCAATTATGCCCCACACTCACACTAGAAAAAGAAGGAAAGGGAAGGAATAAGCGAATAACAGAATTGGAAGGAATCCTTGTATCATTTCAGACAAGTGGCTGTCCAATCTTTTTTAAAAGCCTCTCTTTGATTCATTGCTTCTTGTTGGAGTACTTTGAATAGGTTGATCCCCCCTTTGTAGCAGCCCTTCAAATATTGGAACATTGCTGTCATGTCTCCCCTAGTCCTTTTCACTAAACTAAATATATCCAATTCCTGCAACCATCCTTCATATGTTTTAGCTTCCAGCCCCCTAATCATCTTTGTTGCTCTTTTCTGCCCTCTTTCCAGAGTCTCAATATCTTTTTAATATTGTGGCAACCAAAAATGGATTTGCCTCCACAGTATATAGCTATAAAAACTTTAAAATTCACCAATGCCAGACTCTAGCTCAATTTCTCAGCCAAAACCTTGGCTCTTAAGTACTTGATAATTGGTGGTAAATCAACACTCCTGTTAATTGACAAGGAAACAACAATCAATCGCCAGCCATCAATCATCCAATCACATAAATACGACTCACAGAGTAGCCCAAGTAGTATTCCAGTTAATGATGATAATGATAACCTTTATTGTCTGTATTCTAACCATAACTGGTAGACATATATAGAACAGCACACCCATCTTTTAGGGACTTTGGAAAAAGAGTATCGGGACTATTGGCATGAGCGGTTGCTTCGAATCTAGAATCTCGCAGAACTGGAGCATAACAGTTCCTTTTCCTAATCTCCCCCATCTCCTCGCACTGACCTTGGAGCACAAACACTTCCCACGGTGCAGCCGCGATGCAATGGAGCGCTCTGGCGCTGACTCGCTCAAGTCTTCTGAAGATTGGCGGGAAAGCCTTAGAGTGCCTGGTGAGTGGAAAAGGCGGAATGGAATAGGATAAGGTGGAATGCTCTCTTTTTACAGACTCGGCGAATGGCCTGTTAGAGATAAACATCAGAAAAGATATAAAACCGAAAGCTTTTAAATTCTGACAACTTAAAACCAAACTGCCCAGAATGGCACTTCGCTGAAAGACATCCGGCCTTTGTGGTAAAGCCTGTGTGAGAGATATTCTTGGAAGAATTAGGTGAGGTTAAGAGAAAAATAAACATAAAAATAAAAATAAACCTGCAGTCCAATACTTTGTTTGGAAGCCCAAGTTACCCCCCCATCCCCTCCACCTCTCAAAAGAGAAAGATAAAGGGAGCGCTTTCATTTTTTCTTCTGATGAAAACAGCTGAGAAATTCTGGGAGTTGGTTTACTAAGATTGAGAAATACTGCTGTATTCTGCTCTATAGCATCCATTCTGTGAAAGTGGCCACAAAATGACCACATTTCCAAAGTGTGCACTTTAAAATTAAAAGGAAAATGGGATATATTTTAAATCATTAGACTAAGAAGAGTATAAAAGGAGGAATTCGTGCAGAAACCATTTTGGCTAACCAGAATGAACAGCTGAGTCCATATATTCAGATAAGTCCTGTATTATGGTTCAAATAAGCATATTTGCAACCTTTATGAAAAAATGTGGTTTGATTGTGCAAATGCCCTGCCATGCTTAGCTTACTGTGATAACTTTGGATAATATTTTTGCCTAATTTAAGCAGTATTTGATAAAATAGTTATGGCAAATAAACAAAAACATTTTCTTATTGCTAAATATATTTAAAGAAATATTCAAATGGAAATCATTTGAAAGCTTCTTATATTTTTAAGCAATGAATAAAAAATAATCCTTAATTGTACTCCAACCAGCTGCTGTGTGTGTGTGTGTGTGTGTAATTTACCTGATTCCAACACCTGTTCTATGTGGTTAGGTTGGTTCTCATTTTTCAATGGACAATAATCCAGACTAGAAAGTATAGATTTACTTAAGGAAACATTTTTAAAAGGCAATTTAAAATTACCATATACTATTAAGTTGTCTTGAGAATTTATTTATTTACTATTTGTATTCTACCTTTATTATTTTTACAAATAATCCAAAACAGCTAACATATCCAGTATACCTTCCTCCTCCTATTTTCCCCAAACAATAATTCCGTAAGGCTGGTTGGACTGAGAGAGAGGGACTGGCTCAAAATCACCCAGGTGACTTTCATAGCCAAGGCAGGACTTGATCTCATGAGTATAATAAAGTAGAAAGGACTAGAGCAGTGGTTCTCAATGTTTGTGTGATGGCACCCCCTGTCACACAAACGTGCCACGCATGCGCGGCGCCACCCCCATGCGTGGTGCGCATGCGCAGCGCCGCCCCCTGAGGGGAGAAAATGGCGGATTGCCTTCTTTGGCGACCCCCGTAAAATGGTCGATCAACCCCAAATGGGGTCACGACCCATAGGTTGAGGACCGCTGGACTAGAGACCTGCAGTAACTAGAGGTAGTCATTGACTTACAACAGTTCATTTAGAGCAGGGCTTTTCAACCAGTGGTACGGGTACCACCTGTGGTACATTGGCACCTAGCATGTGGTATGCGAGCATCCTAGAAAAGTGGTAGTGGGGGAGGGGAATGAGCTGACCCGGTGGCAGCACTGCACAAGCCTGAGCGAGAGATGTCTGGAGCTGCAGGACTGTCAGGGCTCAGTGGAAGTGCCACAATCAGCACCAGGCTCCAGCTGGAGCTCAGCGCTGATCCTGATGCTTAGCTGAGCCCAGAAGAAGCACCAGTCAATTGAAAAGCAGCACTGATCCTGGCGCTTCTGCTGAGCCCAGAAGACGCACTGATCAGTTGGAATGTTGCAGCATCTCCAGAGTCTTGTGATTTACATTCAGATGCTTGGCAACTGATTCATATTTATGATGGTCACAGTGTCCCAGGGTCATGTGAAGTGCCCAAAACCTGCTGCAACCCACCCAGCAGACGGGTGAAATAAAAACCAAACATCCTCCGACCTCACCCCTGCTGCCAATCCTGAACAGAAATGCTCACAACAATGAAAACCTCAGATAGGTGGGCGGGCAGACAGGTGTCTTGCTCGGCTGTGGTTTTGGGGGCACCTTTTTCAATGCCATTGTAACTTCAAACAGTCACTAAATGAACTGTTGTAAGTCGAGGACTACCTATACTTTATCACTTTTTTCCTTTTTTTCTTTGGTCATCAAATTTTTGATACCTTACTAGGCAACTGGTGGTACTTGGATATTGCCATATCCTAAAAGTGTTACAATGGGTGAAAAGGTTGAAAAGCCCTGATTTAGAGACTTCAAAATTACAACAGTACACTGAAAAAGTGACATATCTGTTTTTCATACTTATGGCCATTGCAGCATCCCAATAGTCACGTGATTGAAATTCAGATGTTTAGCAACTAACTCATATTTAAGATGGTTGCAATGTCCTGAGGTCACATGATCACGTTTTGTGACCTTCTGACAAGCAAAGTCAGTGGGGAAGCCAAATTCACTTAACAATTGTTGAAAGAAAATCTTCATCAGGGTCCAGTCCAAGCTGGGAATAAACAAAATGGAGGCTGCTTTAGAAAGAAGGTTGTTGTTTATTGAAGAACAGAGCCAAACAGAAAGATGGCTCTGGGGAAGCTGACCACATGTAGTAGGGAGTGGTGGGTTTTTATACCTTCTTGAGCTTTTGTTTGGAGTTGTTCCTGTGGCATGAACTTTGACCTGAGTCTGCGTGTGCCTTTCTGGTATTCTGATGGTGGGTTAATCCTATTATATCCCAAAGGTCCTGCTTCCCTGGGTTGTGGCTGATGACTGTTGGATTTTTTTGGTGTGAGGGATTGTTGACTCTAGGGATCTTTGTCTTTCTAATCCCAGCTTTCTGGCTCCAATCTTTCTGACAAGATTATCACATCTGCATTTCTGCAGACCTGGTTTCTGTTTGGGGCAGAGAGACTGGGGGGGGGGGAGGGTTGGTTTCTGCCTTTAAGATCCTTTGGGGAAATATATTCTGCCTTTTAATATTCCCCAAAATATTTCTTTTCTCGGGAGGGCAGGCTGACTTCCCACACAATCATATTACTAACTTATCAACTAGAGTGATTCACTTAAAAATGTGGCAAGAAAGGTCGTGAAACGGAGCAAAACTCACGTATTAAATATCTTACTTAGTAACAGAAATTTTGGGCTCAATTATGGTTGTAGCTTGAGGATTATCTGTACATAATTTTGCAGGAACTTTAGAAATACGTATTTTTCATATATTTTTTTCAAATACTTTTCCATTTAAATACCCAGACTTAGAACTGATAACTACTGTCAAGCTTTGAGGGAAAGGGAAAGTCTATTGTTGTCCCCAATTTGGGTCTGAGCCTGGTGCTGAGACCAATGAAGAACAGGCACGAGTTGTCTTTTATTGAAGCCCTCCAAGAAAAGGGATCCTGGCCAAAATGCCAAGGAACCTCGAACCACAAAATTAATAAAGTTTTATATATTTTCTCTAAAGCAGAAGGCGGGATAAGGTGGGATATATAAGACATATAATCTAATAAACATTTCAGTAATAATCTAACAATTATTCTATTGGTCTCTAGCAGTCCCTATTCTTAAGCCTTGGCTAATGAATGCTTCAGGAGTTATCTAATACACATCCTATTTGCTCCAGGCCATCTCTATTCCTAGCTTTTAACAGAGCTTGCAAGATGCCTAAGTCTTCTGTTACTTTTATCAGCTTTTTAACCACACAGAATTTTTACAAGCTTTACATGTGCCTATTTCCTGTGAATAAGCATTCTTTGTTCTTTCCAGATAAACTCCCCAATTAAAGGCTTCTGGGTCTGTATGCCTAATCTTGCTTTGTTTTGGCACCCAGCCCATCATTATCAATCAGCATCAGTGATTGTCCCTTTACCCAACAGGCTGGCTAGACCCTAGCCCTTTTTCAAGATTTTGTTTTGTTTCATTTTGCTGCCTTCAAGTCAGTTTTTGATTTCTAGTGGCTCATTGAACTAGTCCCAAAAGTTTTCTTGGCAAGATTTTGGAAATGGGTTGCATTTGTCTCTAAACTGGTTTTCTTGGGGCAGTTCATTTTACTTTGGTCTTTTTTCTGCCAATCAAGGAATAGAAGAACTTACATTAACATAACTGAAAGGAAGAATCTTAATCATACATTATTTAGAAGGGAAATTAATTTAATAATTGTTCATATCATTAGAGGCACATTTGGTGAGCATTGATCCCCTACTCCAGTGGCTCCTTAACCTTTTGGGCCCCAATTCTCTGGAGAGAAGCTTTTCTGTGACTGGAGGGGGCATGGTGTCGTGTGCTTCCTGCCTCCCACAGATGGGGCTTCGCTTGTTTGCGTGATCCGGTTTCTGGCATGTGCAGACTGGTGCCAGTGCATGGACCAGAGGTTGAGGACCCCTGCCCTACTCTCCTCTGATCACTTGTAAGCCTCCATCACTTGTAAGCCTCCATCTCAGCCATTTCTCTCCTAATCTTTGCTCTTCCCAAGTTTTTAAATGCATGTAAAGGTGTGTGAAACAAGAGAAGAGAAAAAAAAAAAGGATTTCATAATCAGGAACTCAGGCTAAAATGCAATTTTATCCATTATGTTTTCCTGTCTGTAATTTTATTATTTTTTGGCTAACTCACTGTTTATATAATATTTGAGCTGAAAGGAATAGATTATTAATCAGAAATTTCTAATGAATGTAAAGGTCTGTAGGAGGCAGGGCTTTTTTTGTCATAGAATGTCCAGAATGGAGATCCGGCACCTTTTTTGGATGGAACATTATAGGGTAGGCAAGGCGGGTTGTATGATGTGTGTGAGTTCCGGCATCTTTTTTTTTTTTTTGACAAAGCACTGGTAAGAGAAGCCACCTGAAAGTCATAAACTCAAACAAATTAACTAACAAATAAGAAAAGCAAAAATTGCTAGTTAACTGAAACCGCAAGTAGAGGAAACACAAAAACTGATGGTAAAGTTTAGAGCTTAAGGTAGCAAAGGTATAACCGCAAACAAATATAGAGATAATTATAAGAATTGAGCTTTGTTAATAGAAAATTAGATAGGATGTGCACAAAGGGGCTTCCTGGAACGTGGGAGGGACAGTGGTTTTAGGCAGTAGGGATAGATTTATTAGGGAAGGGGCGTTGAGTGCAATAGGGGAGAGGGGAATCTGCGTGTGTGGGGGGTATGATATAAAAATGTGTCAAACAGCTTTTTAAGGTGTGTTTGGACTCCTACATGTGTTTCAGCTCACCAAGCCTTTGCAAATGCTTCTTTTTAAATAAAACTTTGTTGCTGGAATTCCAACTGAGTTTGTTTATTTTGGGGTCTCGAGTCACGTTCCAAACAGAGCTTTTCTGAAGAAATTATTGTTATGGGTGTTATGTCTACCTTAAATACAGCTCTATCATTCATCTCTATTGTATTTATTTCCTGTGTCACATTGCTACTCTGATTCATCTCTATTGTTCCTGTGACGCATTTCCTGTTCTGTTGTACGCTCTCTTCCTTTCTATAACAACATGGTTTCTGCAGTATGATGCCTTGTATTGTATTTACTGACTCCACATGAAACATGGTGTCAGAAGCATCTGAATCTGTGCTGTCTTTATACATTTGATGCATGCCAGTCTAGCACTTGTGGCCCTATCCTGGAAGCCGAGTATTTGAAACCAGGAAACCAGCATTATGGCAGCTGCTAACAGCATTCCACTGCCTGAAGCAATGAGGGTAAGTGGAAATTGCAGCAGTAACTGGGCTAACTTCAGAGAAGAGTTTAAAGATTACTCCCTAGCCACAGGCTTAAATGACAAATTGGCAGCAGTGCAGGCAGCCACACTGAGAAGGCTGATGGGCAGCAAATGCCTCCATGTTTACAAGCATAATTTAACCCTTAACAGAGGAGCATAAGAGTGATACTAAAGCCATCCTAGATGCCTTAGAAGTCTTTTTCAGACCCTCTAAAATGTCATATACAAGAGAGAGATTTGGCAGCTGTAAGCAAGAAGAAGGTAAAGCAATAAACAGTTTTGTCACATGGCTAAGAGAAAAAGCTGCAAGCTGTGATTATGGCTCTCTGAACTTATTTGTGACAAAATAGTTCTGCTTATCACTAGTGAAAATACATCCGCCACCTTTTGAGGGAACATAATTTAAGCTTACAAACCGTAATTGAGATATGTCATACTACAGAATTTACTGACAAATGGATGACAGCTTTGGAGCAGGATAAACAGATTAACAGTGTCAATGCAGCCTCCAAACAACAGCTAAGCATAAAGAACCACCAGCACAAGCGTCAGCATAAAATTAATCTACACACCTGGGAGAAAGTACTGTATTATGCAAGTACTGTGGCAGTGTGCATGTCGAAAGAAAGACCAGCGTCCTGAATATGGGAAACTGCAGAGCATGTGGGAGACCAAATCATTTTGCACAAGTGTGTCTCTCAAGTAAACTAGAAGCGAGGAAGCTGCACACAATTGAGCAAATGTCAGATCCTGAGGATGCACACTTGCTTACCACCAGTGTGGTTTACACAAAAGAATGCATTGGTGCTGTAAACTCTAAGGGCAAAAAATGGTTTGTAAATCTCAGATTAAGCAATATAATCCAGTCCTGCCAGCTGGACTCTGGTGCAATATGTGATGTTATGAGTTTAAAGAACAAAATGAAACTGGCACCTGAGATACCTCTTCAGCCTAGTAGCACCAAACTGAATCTATATTCAGGAGAAGTAAAGGAATCATTGGGATTTTTCCAAATAGAATGCAGCATATGTGGGGGTACCCAAAAATCTGAATTTGAGATTGTGGAAGCCGTTTAGAAACCACTATTGTATGGATCTGGATTTGATGCAATTCACTATTCCGGCTGAGTTACATAATGTCAAGATTCACCCCTCAAAATCCTTGGCAAGGCCACTGACAAAACAGCAAATCCTTCAAGTCTATAATGAGGTGTTTGACGGCCCCATAGTTTCTGTCCAGGAGTGGTTCACTTTGAACTTGATCCTGCCATTTTACCAGTACAATGTGCCCCACACAATATGCCAATAGCCATTAAGCCTCTGGTCAAAGCACAACTGGACAAATATGAAGCTGAAGGACATATTACTTCAGTATCTGAACCTACTGATTGGATAAGTGATTGATTGTTATTAGGAAACCTGAGAAAATCAGTATCTGCATTGATCCCAGGTTTCTGAATATGGTCCTGAAACAGTCACACTATCAAATTCCAACACTTGATGATATTTGCACAAACTACACAAAGCACAAGTTTTCACACTTGTTGACGCTAGAGATGGCTTCGCCAGCATGATGAATGTAGAATCCACCGGTGGGTAATCTCAGCCTTCCTGCTCAGATGAGATTAAGTCAGAACTTTAGCCACGCCTTCCTCTGGGTGTGTCTTCCCAGTTATTGACTTAGTCTCAGCTCAGTAGGACACAATTTTCTTGGCTCCTCAGTTAGACTAGGTTAATTATTTAGATTGATCTCATTAATTGAATTTTTTTCTGCATTTAAAGTCTCTAAATTAATGTAAATTATTCAGTTCTTAAAATTTGGATTAAAATTGGACTAATTCATTGGATTATTGCCCAGGCCTTTTAGGCTTCAACGGGCCTAACAGGCTCCTGCGGGGCCGAAACCAAGCCGCCGAAGTGTTTTTTTAGCTCCGTTCCAGCTGATTGTTGGGAGCGTCAGATCAGTAAAAGTGGTTCCTAGGATTCCTTCGGAGCTCGGGCAGACCAGAGGGCCTCTCTTGGACCGTTTTCAACGCCACGAGGTTCCATTAGAAGCAGGTGTTTTCAACGCCATGAGTTTCCATTAGAAGCATTCGGATCGCAGCGGACGCTGCACGACTCAACTGCAAGTGATCTGACAAACGGGGGAAAAGGAGGGCTTATATTATTGTTTGGGATCCCTTAGAGCCCTTTCTTCCAAGGGGGGCCCCAATAGCCTTCTTTTCTCTTTTGTTTGGCGCCATTTTAGGTCAGCCTAAACAGGCGCGGCCACCATTTTTCAAAGCCGTTCAGGTGCGGCCACCATTTTGAAAGCCCTCTCAGGTGCGGCCACCATTTTGAAAGCCCTTTCAATCGGTCGCCATTTTGTAGGGACCTTGTGTTCCTCAGGAGTACACCGGGCCTGCTTTATTTGGTCACCGTAGCCTGCTCTGACAGGCTCCTAGAGGGGGGACATATTTCAACGCCGTTTCAGATCAATTCTGACATTATCAAGGCTAACCTAAAGGGACGGTCACCTTTTTATCTTTGCATTGTTGGTCTAACTACTCATTGAAGCGCAGATTTCAATTCTTTTGCTATTGCTATCAAATTAGCAAGGGGGAATTTATATTAGAATCCACCTGTTCCAATTAGTTTGTGGCGCTGTGCTACAAGGCCTAGACAGCCAGCTCTAGTGATCTGTCTGGCTGTTTTCCATTGCTGTTGTTTCAGAGCACGGGCTCTTTTCCCTCTCTGACAATCAGATCTGCATGTTGGTTTCCCCCCATTTCTGGACATCTCCTACTCGGAATATCCGGACTGCAATGGCAGATAGTGCCTCACCCCAGGCATCGCAAGGCTCTGATATTTCCCCCCACACAAGTAAAGTGCAGATCATCTGATTTGGAAGCGAGGGGAAAGAAAAAGGCCAAAACAAAACACATTTCCACCAAAGAGCCCTCTAAAGCAGCTGAGTGAGAGGCCTCAAGGAGACATCAGGTGCTGGAGAGGGAATTCTCCAAAGTTCAAAGGCTCATGTCCAGTGAAGCTGAAGTGGTTCCCCCTGTTCCACTGGACCGTTCCCCATTTGAGCCTCCATATGAGCCTTCCCATGATGCCCCTAGGGCATGGTCTCCTCAGGGGGAAACTGAACAGGTCAGTCCCCCTCACTCCTCTTCCATTACACAACAGGGTCCTGAAGCCACGCATGCTCCCACTGCAGCTGGTGTTTATTCTATGGGCCAACAGGATATAGGGTCAGACCAGTTCCAAACTTTCATGCACCACGCATTTACACAATTTATGGCCTCCCATATGGGTCAATGGCCCTCGCAACCACCACCGCCTCATTCCATGCCTCCCTCTCAAACAGGACGTGCTCCGGTTTGGCATCTCTGAGACTTCCTCTCAGTTAGGCGAGGAGGGGTCTGTGGACCTGGAGGTAGCCGACATGCCCATGTCAGAGGATGAGGAGGTGGCGCCAGAACAAGCGCCAACCTCTGGTCTTTTCGACCCTTCCCTTTTCAGGTCACTGCTTATGAAGGCCTGTACTACGGCCAAGCTCACTTCGGAACAGGAAGCTAAACCTTCCACCTCCATTACTCAGGAATCTAATCCTTTGTTTTCAGAGAAAGCAGTGGAGGAGAAACAAATTCCTTGTCCCAATGTCTTTCGCACTACGGTGGAGAAACAATGGTCCTCTCTGGCCACTTTACCTTCTCCCACTAGTACAGAAAAGAAACTTTACAATGCTTCTTCTTCTTTTTCTTTCCTTCTGGAACTGCCTACAGTGGACACTCCACTAACTTCATTATTTTCCACATCCACTATTCCAGGGGAAATGGCTGAAGCCCTGAAGGCGGAGGATAAGAGGTTTGAGTTCTCTCTCCATTGAGCTCACCAGGCCTCGGCATGGGCGATCAAGGTGGCAATTTCTTCCTTTTTTGCAAGAGCATCCATCACGTGGCTCCGCGAAGTCCAGGCGCTCATTCCTCCTGACCAGGTGCACTCACACCAAACATTGGGAAAGTTATTGGCAGCGTCTGAATATATGGCAGATGCATCCCTTCATTCTGCCAGGTACTCTGCCAGATCTATTGCAGCCACAGTTGCGTCTCGCAAGCTACTGTGGCTCAAACAGTGGTGGACTGACTTAAAATCTAAGTGGCGTCTGTCGACAGCCACGTACAGTGGTACACATTTATTTGGTCCAATCCTCTAACTGTACCTCATAGAGGGCAAAGACAAATGTAAGATTCTGGCATACCCCTCTAAGACGTTGGATAGGCGGCCTCAAGATTTTCGCCAACAGACTCCCCGTCCAAGTGGTACCTGGGAGTGGAGGCAGCCCTTTCAGACTGGGCAGTCCTGGGAATGGCCCAGAGGCTCTCGATCCTTTCTCCCTAGACAGGATCACCAACAGGACCGCCAGAACACTGGAGCCAGGGGCCAATACCAGTCCAAACATCCCTTCCAAAGCTCTGGGGGCTGTCCTTATAGACGGACCAAGTGACACCAAGGAGACCTCTCCCATAGGCGGTCCCTTGTCACTGTTCAGCGACATTTGGGAGGTTACCACCATCGACTCTTGGGTGAGAGAGACCATAAAACACGGTTTCGCCCTAGAGTTTTTCTCAAATCCCCCAGACCGTTTCATACAGTGCCCCGTCTCAAGAAAACAACCAAGGCAAAATTGGTATCCACGGCCATCTCCCATTTGATAGAAATAAGGGCCATAGAGCCGGTGCCTATGGAACAGAGAGGAGAGGGATTTTATTCCATTCTGTTCGTGGTATCCGAGGCCTTGGGGGGATGGAGGGCAATACTGGATTTAAAGGGTCTCAACTACTTCTTAACCTACAGGAGGTTCAAGATGCAGACCCTAAAGTCCATCCTGGCCTGCATCAGGAAAGGGGATTTCCTCTACTCCATAGATCTAACGGAGGCGTACTTGCACATCCCAATCCTCCCAGAACACCGCAGATTTCTTCGGTTTTGTTAC